AGAGCATCAAGCTGGTCTCCATAGGTGAGTGCATCCCCAGCGAGTGCTTTTTGCTTTTTTTTTCTCGTTTTGTTGTGGCTTTTTTTTTCCTTTGCCCCGCAGAGCGTGCACGGGCTCCGGGCGCTGAGGGCTGCAGGCTGGGGGGCGGTAGCCGAGAGATTTCTGCTTCTGTTGTCTTTAACGAGCTTTGGGGGTGCGGTGTAGTGTTGGTCTAAGGCTGTGTGTGCAGTTGGGCTGTCCCACAGCCCGGCTGTCGGGGCTGGCAGTGCTCCACAGTTCTGAGCCTCTCTTAGTCCCTATTGCATACGTGAGGCTTTGCTTTCAGGGCTTTTCCTGAAGAAACCCAGCATAAGAGCACACTCGCTCTCTGTGCAGCCCGTTTTCCCAGGCGGTGACCCCTCCTGCAGCGCTGGCAGGGGGTCCCTGGGCTCTGGCAGAGTGCTGGACCCTGGCTCTCGTGGGGTGAGCTGCGGGGAGATATGCACTGCCATAGGTGGTAGAGGAGCACGAGGAGACTTTTCTTGCTCGCTAGAGCCCAGTAGATGATGCCAGTGTTCAGGTTAGCGTGAATGCCTGCCTAAGTGCAGTTGCAGCTTTTGAACAGGGCTGCATTTTCTCCTTAATCATTTTGCTGTGGTAGATCGTGGGTAGAAAATGTACAAGGGCCTGTGCTAGCTCCAGGAGATGGGTGGTTTGAGCTAATGCCCACCCTGGGTGGCATGAGGGTCGACTGCCCATGCCACACTGGAGAGAGCAATTGGTAGATAACTAACTGGTGGTCTGCTCACGAAATTAAAGCTGCTGGCATGCACATCACACTGCAGATGATACCTCAGGAATGCATGTGGTGGCCGTTTTGGGAATGGCTCAGGTGTGGCCACAACTGCAGTCTGTAAAGTAATAATTTGAATGCCTGAGAGATCTCTGGGAAGGAATGTGAATGCCTTTTCTAGCTCTTTGCCAGATAACTCTAATTACTGCCTCCTGATGACTCTGGCCTCGATGAATTGCACAGCTGAATTTGGGTGAGTGCAGTTCTGCTCGGTTGTCTAAAACTCTTGGCCAAGGTGAAAGCTGTTTCACTTCAGAGGGAAGCTACAATAGCAAGAAAATATAAACCTCTCCAGTCCGGGAGAGACCTGGCCCTCTGGAAAGCTGTGGCTGGGTGGAGTAGGTGGGTACCCTGTTGTTCCTCACTACTAATGTGTAAAAGCAGCTTTGGATGGGAACTCTTGGGCCCTGAATGGCTGATTATCCTCCTAGGGCAAAACAGCTAATGTACTTGCAGCTGGGAACAGAGCTAGTGCTAATTTTTTACTTAGAGATGCATTCCCTTCACACATGGTGGGGTTCGAGTTGCAGCTGCTGACTCCTGGACTGAGCTTGCCTTTGCTAACATTGGAGCTCACCTTTCTTCTTCAGCTGCTGCAATAGCTCCTCACCAGCCACAATGCTTGCACCAGGCCAGCACTCCCCTCCTATTGTATTGTTTGCCCTAGAAAAATGTTGCTGCTTCAGCTGCCTTCCTATTTGTCTGTGGGACTTCCCGAGGGCAGCGTGTTTGGGAGATCAAGGTTAGTCCGGTCAGGCCTGGCTCCCAGCGGCTTCCTTTCTAGAAATGCTGCTCCCTTACGGGATTAGGCTGAGCTGCAGGGTGGCCACGATCATTCAGGACTTGTCTGTTTTGTGGTTTATTTGCATTGTGGTGGCTATTAAAAAACGAACAAACAAACCCACAAAACAACCAAACTTGCCTCCCCCCATCAAAAAAAAAAAGGGCCCTAAAAAACCAAACCCCAACCCAAACCAGTAGTTAAAGCTTTGGAGAATGAAATGTCTGTGGCTGCTAGTGCCTTTGCCATATCCAGCCTCTGCACGAAGGGGTTTATAGTTTCATCCCTTGCTGTGCCACCAAAGCCAAGTGGTAGCACAGGAGCCCTACTATTGCATACAGTCCTGGATAAACTGAGCCATTTCTGAAAAAACATCCTGAACTCGCTTTCAAAGCAAGCCTTGTGGTGCTCCCTTTGGCTGGAGGGGCTGAAGCCCATGCCACCTCTCTTGCAGGTGCAGCCTTGACTGGGGTTGCTGCCTGCCCTGGGTGCATTTCTCCCTGCAGGCCCTGAAGAACTTGGGGCACATTTTTGTTTCTGGTTTTCAGTCTCATCCTTTGTGTTGCTGAGCAAAACCGAGGCTGTCATGGAGTCTGGACCTATGTACCAGTAAAGGATTTTAGGCAGAGAACTTTTATGACCAGGTTGGTCTTTAGGGCCCGGGTTGTTTAGGGCCAGCTCTGAGCCAGATCAGCTGGGAAAACCTGACAGCTGCGGCTGCTGGATTTCTGGCATTAATAATGCCATCAGACCTCTGCTAAGTGGATGCAGTGCCTGTTCCAGTTATTATTTAACTTCCAGGAACATTTTGGAAGCTGTGTATTACGGCTTAGCTACTGTTGCTGAACTACAACCTCACTTTTAAACGTGTTCAGTAGCAAACTTTTGGCATTCAATTCTTGTCCATTTTAAGTAGGTTTTTATTTATTTATTTTAATAAATTTAATAAAATAACTTTCATTTCTTTATTTTTATTATTTGCGTATTAAAGTAAGTTTTACTGAAGTCTGCCTATACCCAGAGAAATCGGTTTAAATTTATGGTGTTTGACCACAGCCCTTTCTGGATGCACGGTCAGGAGCACAACCTCTCCTGCTGCTGTTACTCCTTGTTTAGGCTCTGCTCAGAAGCTGTTGGTTGTTTCAAGATGCTTTTCTTCCAGGCCTGAAGTGCAGATGTGACCACATGTATGGTCTGCTGTAAAAACGGCCATAAAGCACATAGGTGCTTTGTGCCATCCAGCGAAGATGGGATTAAAAGCTCTGACAAAGCTGTTGTTAGGGCAGGTGACTTGAACACGATGTCTTCTGCTCAACACAAGGGAGCCGCTGTGCTACTCAAGTGTTAAGTCTGGCTTTTTTTTCCTGCTAGACTGAGGTAATTACAGATTCCTGGGTGCTGAGTGGCTGTGGTGTGACAGGCCTGAGGAGTAGGATGCCAGGAATGCAGAGCACAAGAGCTTTGCTCTTGGCTGAAGGAGCTGATTGACTTTGTAGATTACTTTGTACAGGAGCCACATTATGCATTGGTAAAAGCTGCAGCAAGTGGCTGAGAAGAGGGGGGTGAAGCTAATTTGGTACTGAGCTTGTCCCTAGAAACCCTGATATCAGGTAATAGGACTCACCTGATGTAGCTTAGAAACAGAAGACTTGTGTGTCTGAAGCCTGGCAGGCAGTTCTAGTTTGTTTGCTGCCGGGTTGCTCCCAGGCTTGCAGCTGGCAGGTCCTGGCTGCACGCTCTGGTGCAGTTTGGTGCCTGTTGGCAGTGTCCTTGTGGCTGCTGCTCCACATCTCTGACAGAGGCAGGATGGGTGCCCATTGGCTGGCTTGTTTGGTAAAACTGTAATCTTAGACTGCAGCAGTCAGATTGATCAGACAGAAAAACATGTAGTTTCTCTTTGCTGGTGTGCACTGTCACCAGATCAGTGAGCTGATCTGGCTTGCCTCCCAGCTGCGGGCTGTCATTGGGATCCAGCACCAGCCTCAGCTACACTTGTGTGGTTGATTTTGAGGTTTGTCTTTGTGGTGGTCAAGAGTCCCACTGTGATGCCTGGAGGGAGATGGGAGAGGAGAGGGTGAGGTTATCGTCATGGTCTGTTGGTCCTTGCCTCTTGGAGACATTGGTCTTGGAGTGTCCCCACTGCAGGAGTACCTCTGGAAGGGCTGTCTCAGCTTAACCTCTGTGTCAGGTGGGGTCTTGGTTAATGGCCAAGTACTTGACATGTGTGCTGTGCTCTGTAGTGCAGACCTCCAGCATGCTCTACAGAGGAAAGTATCTTGACCTCTGAGTCCTTTGAGTACTTCTTTGAGATCTCATTTTGGGAAGATGGTTGAAAAAACAACTTTCTTCCCTAGGCTGCTGGTACACTTACTGAAGGGTGAGAAAGCAAATCTTTAATTTTTAAGAGGACAGTTAGTCTTTTCTAGAACTTGATATATGTATTGTCCTGTAACACCTAGAGGTAGGTGCTTGAAAACGGAAAAAAGGAAAATGTGTTTTCAGCCTGTGTATGCTTAGGGTCTCTCTCTGCCTCACTCCAGGTGCTATTAACACGTCAGAAGGAGGTAGTCAAAATACACTTGTATTTTGTCTGCCACTCACCTGTGACTTCTCTGGAGGGTGTTTTCTGGAAAATATCCAGTGTGTCTTGGAAGCAGGTTTCTGCTTCTTGGAAATGTGACACTTTAATCCTTCCCCTTGAAAATTATTTTTCATAGGCTGGCAGTGGGCCTCATAGTCGGAGACTGGAGGTGGCGTTGGTTTCTGAGAGTGACTGTCTCCTCAGGACCTTTTATTTCAACAGTTGGACTGCTGGTCTAACGAAAAAGTGGCTTTGCATGAGCTATTTGCTCCAAGTTACAGGAAGCTTCAAGGTAGCTTACACAGACTGTTCTTGCATTCTTTTACATATGAGCGGAAACTTGTTAAGTGATCAAACTTCAGTAAAATTACTTGGGACCAGTTAGACTAATGTGCTAAACAGCTTTTTCATTTAAGGCACTGAACACTATGCCAGCTATTCAAGGACTGAAGTCTTAACTGCTCTATATTCTAATGCCATGTCCTGTATTGACTTACATGGGGATGTTTAAATCTAAATGGGTCAGGATAACTCTTTTCCTAGCCTACAACTGTAATCTAAGAACGCGCTTAACTTGTGTGTGGCTGTGCCTCTGCATTGCCAGCATTGTTCAGTGTCCGCTTCAAGCAATGGGAAGTACAACTATGATCTCTGAATGCCCCGAGCTGCAGAGGAATTCAGTTTTCTCTCTGCCCCTCAGACTTTAATATGCAGCCAGTATGAGACCTGAACAAGGGCCTGCCAAGACCAAACCACCAATACATGCTAAGCAAGCACACCATAGCCGAACGGTGCAGTGCAGGAGATGGTGGTGTGAACAGAGCTCTGCT